TCTGTTGTCCCCTTCTCCTCTTGCCTTCACACTTTCCCAACATCAGGGGCTTTTCCAGCGAGTTTTCTCTTCTCATGAGATGGCCAAAGTATTGGAGCCTCAGCTTCAGGATCTGTCCTTCCAGTGAGCACTCAGGGTTGATTTCCTTCAGAATTGATAGGTGAGATGACCACTGATGGAGACAATACTGAGAAGGATGGCAAATAGAAATGATATTGATGAAGGGTGTGAGTCAGTGCAAAATAGGAAAATAAGGAAATAGATCAATGGATTAAAAATGAAACTAAATTGCCTAGAATAAATTTATTATTTGATTTATTTGATTCATTTGATTTATACCCCACCTATCTGGACCACTGGACCACTCTAGTCGGCTAAAGTATTCTACATTAATAGGAACTTGGATAGAAATTCTTATTTGAGAGCAATTGAATTCTTGGATGAATCAATCCTTAATCTCCAGTCATGTACAGGCTGCCTGAGAATTCATCCCCCTCCTAGTAACTACTCTCATAAAGTTCTATCTCTGTCTTTGTCAGATTAAATCAGATTTGTGTGCTTCCATGTATATGGAAGAAACTTAGCATAATACAGTACTAATCACTGCAGGGTGCACAGTTTCCTGTATCTAAAAGCAGTTTAGACCTTGAACATCTGTGATAAATGGTCAGTTTGGTCCATCCGATAAAGTGAAAATGCAAGAAAATGTTTTAAAAGGACAGGATAGAAAATAATATGTGCAAATAAATTGATTGTGTCTTCCTTAGTCTACTCCTCCTGAGTCCCAGAGATCTCATTAATACTGGCCTGTAGAAGCCAAGATAAATTCTGTGATACCCAATAATCAGGCTGCGTGTGTACATGCATGTAAATATCACTGCATTTGCCATCTTGTGGCATACATTAAGGTTTTCTTTTAGGAGCCAAATTTTCTGCAATACAAAATAAAAGGGCACTCACTCATGAACAAAGGAGGAAGGGAGGCAAACAGGTAATACACTATGGGGCAATCTCCACTGCTGGAACAATCCAGCAGACTTTTGTATTCAGGCTAAAAAGTCATGTGGACTTCAGCCCAAATACAAATGTTTTGAGTCAGTGTGTGCATCCACAACAACAACACTTGTCAAAAAAAGAAAGGCAAGCCACAGGCAGTAGGTGGGGGGGATAAGGGGGGAATGGATGATTGGACAGTCAATCAGGGGGATTGGGCAGGTGATCAGGAGGGGGGTGATGCAACTGGCGGGGGCATTGGGCAGGCAATAGCTGGGTGATTTGGGTGGGGGATTTGGGGAGAGAGGAGTGATTGGGTGGTCAGGGCAATCCGGCTC